GGATGTTTTAATTAGTGAGGAAACAAGTTTAGAAGTGGAAAGGAAAGCTGAATAGAGTACAAGGTTGTGGGAGAATAAGATGTTGGAGTTTTAAGATTCTCTGCCCCAGACAGGGTCTCACTGTGTAGTTCAGGCTGGCATTGAACTCACTATGGAGCCTAGGCTGGCCTCAAACTCACAGTGATCCTCCTGCCTTATCCTTCTAAGTGCAGGGCTTACAGGTGTGCACCACCATGCTTGGCTGAAGTTTTAATTAAGATTTATGCTTAATAGTTTAGGAAATGGCAGTGTTCAAGTTGAGGTTGCTGTAGTGTATAGAGATTGAGGTCTTGGTATTTGTAGAGGTAATAAAACGAAGCAGACACATTGTATGGATTGTGTAGATGGTCTGTGTAGAGGGTCCTTTTCAGGATTTAAGTAGAAAAATAAAAAAAACATGTTTAAATCTTTGATCAGTGTAGACTCAGCCCTTTCCTATAGTAAGAATCAGTGCAATTCCTGGAATCAATAATGCCCTAGTTTCCTGGGAAGCTGTGTGATATAGAAGAAAGATCATGAGTTTAGACTCTCTGGATTCAGTCTATGGTCCATCCACCTGATTTTTCAATCCTTTTTTTGTTTTTCTTTTTGTAAATTGGGGACAGTGAGACAATTTTGTTATCAAATAAGAATATTTTTTGAAAGTGCTTAATGTTAATTTGACTTTATTTTTGATTGCTGTCATCACTTCAAGAGAACACAGAAGTGGAAGTAGGGGACAGAAGTAAATATAACAAATAAATTTTTTTTTTTTTTTTTCAGTACTGGGAATTGAGCTCAGGCCCCTGCGCTTGCCAGGCAAGAGCTTATTCTACTGAGCCATCTCCCTGGCCCCCCAAATTTTGAGTAAGGTACTTTATTCATCAAGTTTATTTTATAGAGTTAACACAAACATTTATGTATGAATACAGATACAAGCAAGTACTGATGTATGGAGGAATTTTATAAACTAAGACACTGGGTGGCTCATGATAACTTTTTTTAATTTAATTGAGAAAGAAATATGAATGAAACAGTTTCAAAGCTGATTAATAGGACAGTTTCAATAATCAATACATTGTACATTGTTATCTTCTTAGTGGTTATCCATAGTACAAGAAGCAGACAGGATGTCCTGTCCAAACACTATTAGTACACCTCTTTCTTCTCATTGAATTAAGTGAAAGTAGCTGTATATCTATCCTATTTTGTATATATAAATACAAAATGATCTTTCCTTTGTATGCCCCCCTTTTTTTTTCAGTCTTGTCAGAGGTGGATATTCTGTTGGCATCTAAATACTATAGGTGTTTGAATTCAGCTAAACAATCTAACACTGTCAACAGTCTATAATATTAGTGGGTTATCCTCAGAAGTTATTGACTTGAGCCTTTTACAGCTCATCGTATTAATATGGCTTTACTTTATATACCTTGTTTTTATACTTTTCTGCTGGATGGTTAAGACCAAGATAAAGCAAGACCTATATACCAAGAAATGTAACTTTTGTATCTGATAAGGTCAGTCAAGTACCCTCAGGATTTATCCTGTAGCTCTGTACCAAACTTGGTAGATCCTTTGTCAGTGTCAGCCAGGAGGATGAGTCACGGCCATTGCTAGACCAATTGATACCATTGTGTTGTTGATATGGAACTACTATTTATATAAAGACATTTTTTTTTGAGACAAGTTTTACTGTGTAGTTTAGGCTGCCCTTGAGCTTTGTAGCCCAGGCTGGCCTCAAACCTGCAATCACCCTCCTACCTTAGTCTTCTGAGTGCTGGTGTTTTCAGGTGTATACCTCTATGCTGAGCTGAATAATTCTTGCATGGAGGCAAGCATTGAATTGAATAAGTTTGGAATTGAGGATTTTTACTTCATTTGAGATCTGTCTATATGCCATTCAATCAATACATACATGAATATTTCCTCTGTTTCATTTGAAAAATTGAAAGCCAGTGTTTTGTTTTGTTTGGAGTTTTCCTTTTTATTTTTCTTCCTATGTGCTAAGATAGAGCCAAAGACTATTAGTCACTGGTTTTGGTATCCCCATTTGGATGAGAGACTTTAGTCAGATACTGGTAGTGATGTAACAAAAGCTGCTGTCCTCACCTGGTGGGTGGGGCTGGGGTGAAGTCTGTGGCATTCAACTGGAGACAAATATCAAAATGTGCTGCCAAGAAGTTTGGCTTAGTGCTTTTTCTGAAGAGCAAATCTTTCTAGATGATTTCAGATCTCTTGCATCATTTTATTTATTTTTTTAATGAATGACCTTCCTACTGGGCTGGCCTGTGAGATCTGTGAGGCCGCAGCATCCATGTGTTTCATGTGCTTTTCACTCTCAGCCTGTGTCTGGCTGGGAAATTGTTCACATGCTTGGGCCTTAGTCAAGTCTCCTTTCTGCTGAGCACTTTTTTTTTCTGGTTGTTGTTTATGTGCTTATAACATAGTTCCTCACATTCTTTTGGAAAATTGCTAAAGTGCCTTTATTGTTACTTAACCTTTTTTGTATGTTAGAAGATTGGAATTCATTTTGTAGCTGTGCTCTTGGTTGTTTATTCATGTGTTTATTTCTTCTGTGATGAAAGAATGAGTAACATGGGCTTTGGAGTAGGAATTTCTTGCCTGTGTAAGGGATGAGAAAAAACATTCATTTATAAATGCTGAAGGAATTTAATGCTTAAAGAGCGTGAAGAACTGATAAATAACATCTTCAATTTAAGGTATACTAGACTGAAAATTTTTTTGTATTTTAACTAGCACTTTCTCATAATAATGATATTGAAACTGAGGGTAGACATTGGTGATACCTTGATTGAAAGAGATTGGGAAGATCATAGCTTATGAGTCTGTAGTGAACTAATTTTTTGAACTTGGAAAGAACCTTAGATGTTATCTAATCCAAATGTAGGTTATATAGAAGAAGCATCTGAACTCTGCAAGCAGGCATGTCTTTAGGAAGCAAAGTCCTTAAAATTTTGAGGGATGAATTGGGATCAGGATAGACACTTAGAAATAGAGAGAAGATATGAAATACCCTAGAGATTCTGATCTGATGAGGCTCAAATTCTTTGCTCTGTGATGATAGCTGTCAAGGTTCACTTAATCATTTAATCATTTATTACCAGGCATTTATTGAGTGCTTGCTATATTGTGGGTGCAATGCTAAATGTTGGGGCTGCAAATATGAATAAGTCGTGTCCCTGCAACTCATGGATCTCTTTGAGCAGAGCAGTGTAAGACAGAGTACTTTCTTTTTTGCTGTTCCTCAGAAGCAAATTCAAGCTGGGCAAGGTGGTACATGTCTGCTATTTCAGCATTGAATAGGTGGCTGATGAGAGGCTGAAGCAGGAGGATCACAAGTTTGAGCTCAGCCTGGGCAACTTAGTGACTTACCAAGGGCCTGCCTCAAATTAAATAATGTAGCTCAGTATGACAGCCTTAGATTTAATCCTTAGTACTCAAGAAACAAACAAAAAATAAATCCAGTGTTAACAAGTTAGTGACTTTTTTATAACTCACCCATCTTTGCTGTTTATTTGCTTTAATATTTCTGAGGAAGGCAGAAAAAATGATCTGATTTTACCACTAGACAAGTTATGTCCCAGGATGGGAGAAGTGTGAAAAAGACCATCTAGAGGTTATCCTTAGACATTAAGCTTTCAAGTGGAAATGCTTTTTGAATAGTCTCTTGTGTCACCTGTCACCTTCAAGATGAGAGCTTGTGGGTATGGTAGGACAAGTGGGTGCCTTGGAGATGACAGATGAACTAGCTTCTACAGAGGGCTGTAAACCTGACAGAATTTGATCAGGGATTGTTCTTTGCTATTATTCTTCCTCAGCTGGCACTGTTAACCATAGAGGAGTATTGCATTGGTGCCAGGCTGCACATAGTTTCCGCTATTCTGGTCTAAAAGAAGAGGTCTTTTTCAAGTGAATTTATGTGGCAGTTGTGCTCCTTGGAAAAAGGCATGTATGGGGTGGCGATGTTTTCTGGCTTCATGAACGTAGTGAATAAAGATGGACTTGTTAGGGATTTTTTGGGTCTTTACTCTGCTATGCAGGATAGCTTCTTTTGAGAAGATTTAGCAGTCACTTTACTCATTCTGTATCCTTTGCTAGCATCAGAACACTAGTCAGATGGGCACAGTGGCACCTACTTCAAAAGCCTGAGGCAGGAGGATTGCCAGTTTGAGGCTAGCCTGGGCTATATAAGATACCCTGTCTCAAAAAACCAGTAAAAGAAGGGAAAAAGGAAGGAAAGAAACTATTCAGCTCTAAAATTTTCCAGTATATGCATTCATTCATTCAGTAAATATTTACCGAGGGCCTGTGTGACAAGTACCGAGTAATAAATACTGGGATATATGTGAACAAGACATACATGTTCCCTACTTTCAAGAAACTTAACAAAGACATGACTAGACAGAGAATGATTAACAAAAATGTCAGAGTATATGCAGTGCCAGGAAGGATATAAAGTGTCAAGTTAGAGAACACTGAAGGAAGGGAGCTCTTTACTGTGATAGCCTGCTGCTTCCTGCCTTCTGAATTCATAGAAGAAACATAATATTCAGAAAAGAACATGAAAGCCATTATTGAGTGTTTTGTGGTTAATGTAGCCATTAAGTCATTAATGTTAACAAAGAATTAGAAAATTAAATGTTACTTTCATTTTTGCGTTTTGTTGTTTTTTTGAGACATAGTCGCGATATGTAATGTAGTTCAGCCTGTCTTTGAACTCGTTATGTAGCCTCGGCTGGCCTGACTAGGATTATAAGCAAGTACCACTACATCAGGCTTCACTATACATTTTATTTTATTTTTTTACTATACATTTTAAATCGATTTGTTTTAAAAGTCAAGTAGAATGAATGTGCTAAGATACTTATTTTCTTCATATGTTAAGAAACTGCTAAAATTGGGCTGTACTCATCCTGTTCCAGTATAATTTAGGCCTTATGTATTTGTTTCCTTCTCAGGTGGAGACCTGAATTTTGGTCTGTGTCCTACCACATCCAGCTACCTGAAAGTACTTCATGATCACATGACCTTGGACATGGATGCTGTCCTGTCGGATTTTGTCCGTTCCACAGGAGCAGAGCCAGGTCTAGCCCGAGATCTCCTGGAAGGTAAGGGATCAAGGGCTGGGGGTAAGAAAAGAGAAAGTGAAATGGTTAATATTTATTATTAGGATAATTTGAAACATTTAAGTGGTCTGGAAGATACTTTACATATGGTAGTCCATCCATTGGTTACTTGAGCCAGGCCCATGTCTGTTATCCCAGCACTTGAGAGGTAAAGGCAGGAGGATCACTGTAGGTTCAAGACCACCCTGAGTGGCATAGTACTTTCCAAGCTAGCCTGGACTATTAAGCAATAGTACAACAAGAACCTGTCTCAGAAAACAAAAAAACAGGGGCTAGAGAGATGACTCAGTGGAATAAGTGCTTCCCTGGTAAGGGCAAGGGCCTGAGTTCAATCCCCAGTTCCGCAAAACAAAAAAAAAACCCAAAAAACAATAATATGAAACAAAAAACCAAAACCAGTTGTTACATGTAATAAGCTAAATCCACCCTTTGTTTTATGTACAAGTAATATAAGTGAAAATTTGTATTAGTCCACTAAAAGCACTACATCTCCAAGGATACTTCTTTATATTTTGCTGCTTTTTATTTACAAATGTATATATTTATAAATTTCACTATTTACATTTTAAGGCTGTGAAGCATTGAAATCATTTAGAGTCCTAATTAACAGACATTCTTTTCAGAATTAATGGAATCTCAATAAAAATACCAATAGCATTCCTTACAGAACTAGAGAAAGTACTCTTGAAACTCAAATGGAACCTGAAGAAAGCAGATAGCAGCAACAGTTATGGATGACAAGGACAAGGCAAGGAGCATCATATCTCGGACTCTGCAGACTGAAATTATTAAAACAACGTACTGGCAAGCATAAGGGCCTGAGTTCAATCCCTGGTTCTGCAAGAAAACACACAAACAAAAAAACCAATATGGTATTGGCAAAAAACACTGAAAAAACCAGACAGACTTGTGGATCAGTGGAATAAATGATGAATGCAGAAATAATTCCAGGGCCGGGGAGATGGCTCAGTGGAATAAGCGCTTCCCTAGCAAGTGCAAGAGCCTGAATTCAAGCCCTGGTTCCACAAAAAAAAAAAAAAAAAAAAATTCCAGGCACACTCAGTTATCTTTGACAAAGAGGCCAAATCCTTTCTCTAGAAGAAAGACAGCCTCTTTATCAAGTGAGGCTGGGAAAATTGGTTTTCCATGAGCCGAAGATTGAACCTAGACCCACCTCTTGTGCCATGCACTAAACTAAGACTGAAATGGGTCAAAGATGTAAACATTAGAAAGAAACCATTGGCTGGAAGACAGTATGGGTAAAACACTTCAAGGTGTGGGTAATAGCAAAGACTTCCTGAACAGAGCCTCAGTTGCATAGGAAACAATAGCAAGAAACAATTGGGGGTCACATTGAGTTAAAAAGCTTCTGTACTGCAATGAAAACCACCAACAGAGTGGGAAAATGACCAACTTACCAAATGGGAAAAAATTTTTACCAGCTACTCTTCAGACAAAGGACTAATATCAAGAACATATAAAGAATTCAAAAAAATTAGACATCCCCCAAATTTAAAGACCCTATCAAAAACAAACAAACAAAAAACACTGACCCTATCAAAAAATGGCCACCTGAAATGAGTAGGCAGTTAGACAAAAGTACAAATAGCCAGTAAACACATGAACAAATGTTCAGCATTGTTTGCCATTAGAGAACTGCAAATTATAACACTGAGATTCTGTCTTTCTTTCATTCTTGGAAGAATGGCTATCATCAAGAAATCAACCAGTAGGTCTGGGGAGGTAGCTTGGCAGTCTAAGTACCTGCCTGGCAAGCACAAGTTCCCAAGTTTGGTATCTGGTACTGCATGCTGTGCTGGCCCCGAAACCAGGTGTGGTGGCTCACAGCTATAGTCTCGGCACCAGGGAGGCTGAGAAAGGAGGCTTGCTACGGAGTCCAAACTGTACCCTGCCCTAAAAAAAAAAAAAAAAAAATCAATCACTAACAAATGCTAGCAAGGCTTTGGGGAAAAGGAACCCTTTTTTATTGTCGGTGGGATGTAAACTGCTAAAAGCACTATAGCAAATATTGTAAAGCTTTCTCAAAAAACTAGAAATAGAAATTCCATTTGACCCAGCTATTCCCTTCTAGGTATCTTCCCAAAAGAGTCTAAGCTACTGTGCCACAGTGATGGATGTAGGTATGTTTATAGCAGCATAGTTCATAGTAGCTACATCTTAGAAGCAGCATATATGTCCATCAACATAAGAATGGATAAAGAAAATGTGTTATTTTTACATGATGGAGTGGTACTCTGCATAAAGGATAAACTTCAGACATTTGTAGGAAAGTGGATGCACCTCGAAGTAGAAGTGAAGTCAGACACATAAGGTTACATATTGCGTGGTTTCTCAGTATATAAAATACAAGATAAAAGGCAGATAAGGTAATAGAAAAAGAGAAGAAAGTTACGGAAATCCAGTATGGACAGTATATCTAAAAGTGTACCTTGATTCTTTGGCCTGTTGACTTAGAAGATAAATAAATGAATCTGAGGCTGGCAAAAAAAGGAGAGGTGCAAGGGAAGGGGAACAAAAGAAATGATGTGTTCTGTACATATACCAATTTCTCATGATAAATGTAATCATTATATACTGCAAACATGAACTAATAATTGTTTAAAAATTATTATTAGTATTATTTTTGTCTTTTGGGTTCAGGCTGGCCTTGAACTCACTTTGTAGTCCAGGCTGGCCATAGCCCTGCAGTTATCCTCCTGCCCCAGCTTCTTGAGTGCTGGGTTTATAGGTATGAGCCAACATGCCCAGCAAAGCAGTTATAATGTAAGTATGTAATGTATCTAAGTATGAAGTGACACACACAGGCAAGCCTTCAGGGAAACACAAGTTGTTAGCATTCATTGATAAACTTTTAGATTGTCAGCCTTTAGGGAGCTGTGATACTCTGACCTTTGCTTTGCTCCCTGTGAGAAGAGTTTAGAAACGGAAAATCAAGGTATAAATTCCATTTTGTTAATTCAGTACAATTTTGCCCTTAACTTGGATTTTCGGTTCCTACTACTTTCCCCTCCATCTTTCCTATGTGCCAGCCATACTTGACTTATCACTTTGCTTGATCATGTTTCCTAAGTGTACAGTATTTCTTCTGGATTCTCATTTTTGAAATTTAGTTTAAAGGGCTCTTTTTTTTAAAGTAAAGTAAGCCTTAGCCGTCTCCATTCCTTTTGTAACTGACATGGGTCAAATACTTTCAAGTGTCCAGTATGTATAAGGTACTTGAGGTGTATTATTTTTTCTTAGTCACTCTGTTAAAACTTCAAAAACTAAGGTTCAGTGAACTTGAATAGTGTTTGAACCAAGGCAATTTGTGTGTGCCTCTTAACAGTCACGTTAAGTTACTGTTTGTATGTGGGTGTACACAACTATTCACTTTACAAGGAAAAGCTGGAGGGTGTTGTACAACCATGTTATACAAGAGAAGCTGAGGCTGCTGTGAGAGTGAAGAGTGAAGCCCAGTTTAGATCTAGAGTATAGGAAGACCTTTGAGGAAGTTCAGCACTGAAGCCTGCAGGATGAGTACGAGTAGCAAGACTGGAGGATGAAAAGGAGGAGATTTTTGCCAGGCAAATACCTTTACAGGGCCCCAGAGTGAGAGAGTTTGGCACACTGGAGAATAGCAATGTGCCTTAATAGCATTAAAGAAGTGGTGCTTGTGCAATGGGAGCTGGTCAGAGAAGCAGGAAGTGGCTTATGGGGAGCCTTTCTTGACCATGGTAAGGAGTTTACCTTATATTCCCAGTTCCTTAGAAAACTGATGAAGGATTTTAATCAGACCCTGGTTTTTAGTAGTGTACTGGTTGTCAGATACTTAGTGGACAGGGTAGCCAGTGACCAGTTCAGGATATTGCCATAGTTCAAGTGAGGGATGATGGTTACTTGGCCACAGTGGTAGCAGGGGAGAGAGAGAAGTGGATGGATACGATACAGTTCAAAAAAGGAATCAGAGGACCCAATCTACATTTTCTCTTTGTCTCTTGCTTATTTTTTTCCTTTAAAAGTTAACTCAGGCCGGGAAGATGGCTCAGTGGAATAAGCGCTTCCCTGGCAAGTGCAAGGGCCTGAGTTCAATCCCCGGTTCTGCAAAAAAAAAATTAAAAAAAAAAGTTAACTCAGGTTGTAATATAATAAAAAACAAGCTAGGGAGAGAGATTGGGGGCAAAGAGATTAGCTAGGGAGTGTCCATTTTATGTGACCAAAGGCCAAGTGAAAGGAGGACCCAAACTTGGGTAGTGGCAATAAATGGATTCAAAAGAAGAGAGTTAAGAGCTTTTTCAAACAGCCCTGAGGACTGGCTAGGTGTGAGCAGAGGGGAAGCATGGAGGACAGTGAGGAGCTGAAAGTGACTGGAACCTCTGGGGTGGAGGGATTGTGGTGCCACTACTGATCTGGGGAGCATAGAATGAGGAAGCAAGTTTTGGGGGGGAAGATGCTGGACATCCTAATTTGGATATGTTGACTGTTTTTAAGGAGGTTTGTACACAGTTGGAAGTACATATCACATCCCATTTGCTGATTGGTTTGGGAAAAAAATCTTCCCTTTTTTTAAAGTAATAATGAGTACCATGTACTCTTCTAGTTGTTTGAACAAAACAAAACCTCCATCTTTATGTTGTAGTAGAAGAGACAATTAAAAAAAATGGTTAACTACCTAAACTATAAATAGATTATGAGGTATTGAGTGCTGTGGAAAAACCTAAGAATAATGGTACATTATTATGTTCAATATGGAAGTCAGGGTACGATCTAACTGACATTTGAACAGATGGAGAGAAGTTGTGTGGATCTGGTGAAAGGGCCATATGGGCAGTGGGGATAGGTAGGGGAGAGGCTTCAGGATGGACGCCACCTTGGGATATTCTAGAACAGTGAGTAGGACGGTAGAAACTGGAGCAGACTGAGCAGGTGGTGAATGTAGTGGATTAGAAGTAAAATAAGTAAAATCATAAAGCATGGATGATTAGCTGGAGAATTCACAGCAGCAACAGAAGTAAACACATAGATCTTGCTTTCTGTGTACCAAGTATGTTCTGTATAAT